AAAAAATTTAAATAAATTAGTTAATTATAATAAATATGATATGATTTTTATAAAATAATATTGTATAATATCGGGATTAAACTCCCTCTATTCTTTTTTATAAAAGATAATTTTTGGGTATAACTTGTTCCTATAAATAGAAGACACTTATTAGTTATCTACAATTCAGGCCAAAAAAAGAAGAAGGAGAAGAAGTTATCTACAATTTTTTGTTATTTTTTTTATTTTACTCAAATCTATTAGTCATATTAATATCATTACATTTATTATGATGATAAATTGTTCATTCCTTTTGTCCTATTATAAGGTAGAGAGAAAATGTCTTGGACTCTATTTATAAGTTACTTAATTAAATTGTTAACCTGAATATGCTCTTTTGGTTCTATCTATACGGTATTTCCAAACATATAGATAAAAAAAATCTTAAATTGTATTAACGCTTTCTTAAAATAAAACAACTTTTCAACGTTACTTCTATTTAATATATAAACCTTTAAAAAATAAAGAAAATCCTAAAAAGATACCTTTAAATTTCAAAATTCTAAGTCAATCTTATCTACTGCACTTTAATAATAAGTGATAACATTTGAAAAACAAATGACAACACAATATTATAGTAATTCTTGATTTGAGATTTTTGAAATTTTAAATTTATTTTTTTTGGGATTCTCCCTAAAAAATAGCCACTTACATTATAACAAATAAAAGACAAAATAGTAAATTTATAGTAAAAATCTAACAAGGTAATTTATAAATATTTCCAAAAAAAAATTTCTTTCTCTTTCTTCTAAATAGGGCCAAAGGGGTAGATTGTTAATTTTTTATATGGTGTACATATAAGCATTAAACATGGATAAAGTTAGTAGGTAAGTTGTTAAATTTTAAGATAGAATTAATGAGGTTTAAGATTTTTAGTTTTGGTAAAACGTGATGAAAGTGATTCATAAATAGGAATAGAGCAGTGGATAATAAGTTACCCATCTTATACTCTTTTCCCATAAATAAAGTTATTTAAAAAATTATATTTTTTGCAAATTTATTGTTTCTAACTAATTTTAACTAACTTTTTTTTTTAATCAACCTAAGAGGGAGTATATTGGCTTATAAGTTAGATAAGTTAATTTGATAAAAGATGACAAATATGAGAGCCAAAATAAATTAATATATTATATTTAGAACCAAATTCAATCTCAAATTAGCTCTTATATTAAAGACTAAAAAAAAATAATTATCTCTTCTTAGCATACTACCTCCACTAGTTTAGATGGTTAAAAATGGCCAGAGACGTATGGATAAAATTCTTACCAACTGTTTGTTAACTTATTTGGTACTCATCCGATCTTTAATATATGACCCAATTCTTGAGTTAGTTTTGGTCTTAAATATATGACCCATTTCTCATATTTATCAGTTTTCTTTAAATTACCCATATGGATATTCTCTCAACCCTAATCAAGTAGAAGATAGAAAGGAGGTATTAATATAGATAATTATGGTGTTTTAGGAAAAATGTGTCATTTTTCTTATAATTAACTAACTTACTTAACTTCCTTAATATAATCAAATTAGTTAAATGTGTCTTATATTAAGGACCGGAGGAGTATCAATTATTCTTAAAAATTTTATAGAATGTTTTACTTATTAAAACCTATTGGATTTGGTAGGAGGAACCGTGAAACAAAGGGGTATTAGTATTTCATGGACATAGCCTCACATGACCATCACTGATACATTTACAATTTATTTATAAAATGAAACAAATTTATTCTTCATGCGTATGTCATCGCGAATGGATGAAAATGATATAAATGTTTTTATGGAGAGCTTTTTCATAATTTTTCAGTCAATAATTAATGATTAAATAACAGAAGTTTAATAAAGAAGAAATTACAGCTCTGTTTTTAGCAAAGACAACACGTATTTATTACAAATAACTGATTTAATTATTTTTTTTTAATTTATTCAAATTAATAAAGTAACTAGTAAAAATGACTATGTCAATTAGTTTATATTCCAAAAGCAACGTGAAGGTTCCTTTTTTGATAAACAATTGGATGAACGATGCCAAATCCAAACAAAACTCTGAATATTGCCCATCATGTGCAGTGAACAAAGGAGGAGGAGGAGGAGGCCACTATAATTATTAATTTTTTTTTTTTTTAAAAAGGGAGTGAAGTTGCTTTTTCGCGTGGAAGTCGTGGAAAGTAAGTCAATTTCATAAAAAACAAATCTGTCGTCAAATATATTTCTTAAATTGCTATTGGCACACCCCATCTCTCATCTCACCTACTATGCAGATTTTTTTCGTTCTCATCTTTGTGTCGACCACGCCATGATTATGTTTAGTTAATAAAGTAATTACTAATTAATTAAAGTCACTCACGGGGGAAAAATTTACTGTACTTAATTAATTACCACATATTCTTTCCATTCCCCCACATGAAACATCTCTAACCACCTCATGTCGGGAGGGGATATTCTCATAATCCTTCTTTTCTTTTTCTTTTTTCTTTCAAAATCTTATCTCCACCGTTGGATTAAATAATGAATGGTTCATATTTTATATTTGATCTAATAGTGGAAATGAGATTCTGAGAAGAAAAGGAAGAAAAGAGATTCTGAGAGGACCCAAACCCCTTCAGGTCATTACTGAAACAAGAAAGTGATGGCTAAGTAATTAACTTTGTTTGGAAACGAAATAAAATTTTCAATTTTATCTATATTTAAACAATTTTTAAATTTGTATTACATCTCCTCTCATAATAAATGATATTAAATATGGGTGAATGGTGACATTGAAAAATCTTAGTCAATCTTTCATCAACTAACTTATAATGAAGAGCATTCGTCTTTTTCAGAAAACACTCATCTTATTGTGTTTATAATTGAGAAAAAGAATATTTTTTTAATCATATTTATAAATCATATTATTGATTTGTCATGTGAGTGTATACCTTTACTCTAAATTTATTATTGTGTAGAATAACTATTTTCTTGGAAAATATATATAAATTAGGGTAAAGTAGATTAAGGGAAATGGCTTATAAATAAAATTTTAATGAGATTTAATATTTTTCTCAATCTCAATAAAATATGTTAAAAATGACTTATAAATAAAATAGATGTATCATATAGGAGCTAGGAGGGAATACTTATTCAAGATTAATTTCTTCATTCTTACTTGTCCTCTAGCTAACTTGTTTTGAATTCTCTTCCGGCTGATAATATCTTTAGTTAGTAAAATTACTCCACATACATTTAATTAGACTTAAACCTCAAGCAATTTCTTACTTATACGCTTTGAATAATCTCTAATCCTCATTAAGTCTAAATATAATAAGTTGACTATTTATATATAATGGCTAAATCAAATGAATCTTTGGCATATAAGTAAATCTTTTGACTTCTTAAAAATTTGATCATGAATACCAACATGCTACCATCTTAATTTAAAAGTATACACAAATAATTATTTAACCATTTTATAATTGGTAGCGAATATTACTCTATATATATATATCACAAACAAAAAGATTATATTTATTATTACCAATTAATGTGTCACATGATGGAAGTTCAATCCCTAATTATTGGCGGGAATTCATATTTCAAAAAAAAAAATTGAACCAACGTGACAAAATTGATTAAAGAAACTAACGTGCAGGTTTAAACAAAAACAGGGCTAATTAGAGTGTTATAATAATAATGATAACAATTAATAGATTTGATCATGATAATTATGCAACGTGGAAAATGTTTGAAATAGTAAACGCGACAAGAAAGAGAGAGAGGGGGGTGGGCCCCACCCACATACTATCCCCTACAGCTAAACTCCATAGGAATGTTGACCAAAAAAAAAACTCCATACGAATGAATAAACATTTAAAACAATAAAAAAACCAAAGACTTGGACAAATCATGGTGGCTTCGGGTGAACATGAAACTTCTACCTCCAATAAGATCTACGAAGATTAAAGATTATTCTATTTCTCATTTTCTTTCTTTCTTTCTTTCTCCCTTACTTTCTTCATCTGTTTTCTCTCTTCTTCTCTGTGTTTTTATTACGTAATACTATTTCAGATTCTAAATATAAAATTGACTAATTTAAATAAATTAAAAAAATATCAAGTTAGTTATTTGTAATAAATATATATTATTTTTTTAAAATATTTTTATTAATCAAATTTATTGACTATAACTGTTATTATTAGAAAGATTATCTTAAATAAATAAATATAATAGATAAAATGAACTAGAATCTTATATTTATGATCAAAATAAAAATCCAACGAGTTTTCATATTAAAAACCAGAAGTAGTATTATGAGAGAATTACAGTGAGAGTTTACAGAAAAAAATAATTACTAACAAGTCTTTATTGTTATTTATTATTTTTGAATATGTTATTAGAAGTTGAGATTTTTTAATAATTAAGTTTTTCCCCCTCAAACTTTATCATAATTCTACCATTTATTGTTGAAAAAATTATAATAAAATCTCAATAAAAAAAAACTATTAATAAATCTTAACAATAAGTTATAAGTTATTTTTCATTATTATCATTAAAAGATTTTGATTGTTATTTTCATTGCAATTCTTCTTTATTATTTCTGAAAAATGTCACATCAATCCGTCCATGTTGAGCCCACAAGTTGCCACTGTTTGATTTTTACTACTTTTGAAATGTGTGCTTGACTTTGAATTTCCTCCCCAAGAATTCACCGACCTATCCCATCCGCACACCTCATAAAGTATATTCTCTTTATATGATCCCCCAGACAACCCACACCAAACCCTAATTTTGCTATAAAATAATGGCCTCCGCGGCGCAACACGTTCTTCTTATCCTCTCTCTCTCTCTCTCTCTCTCTCTCTCATAATAATTATATTTCTCGCTCACAGCTCGCCGGGCAAGTGGGGTTCACTTTCCGCCAAGTTTCCTTGTCCAACTTGAGCTTCTGAGGTCTACTTGGGAGTAGGACCTTTATATATATACATGTCTGTCTCAGTTTACTCAGAGGTTCAGGATTTTAGAGGCCTTCAGCTAGAGTTTTAGATATATCGCTGCAAGTTCATAAGGGTTTTTGCGACAAAGGGGAGATTTTTTGTGGAAGGGGCCTGAGTCTAATTGCTGCTTTTAGATTTACAATGGATTGTTCGTCTTGGGTCAACACGTCCTTGGATCTCAACATTAGACCTCATCATCATATGCTTCGCGAAGAAGTTCCCGTAAGTTAAAAATGTTCTTCATGTCGTTTATTGCGTGAATGCCCAGAAGCTGTTCTGCAAAATGCTTCAATGAAATCTGTTTGATGATTTTGTATACTGAGGTTCTTATACGGGTGTCTGTTGTTTCAGAAAAAGGAGGTGGAAAACAAATTTTTCTTATCTGGAAGGAAATCTTCTGTAAAAGAAGAGGTTAGTTGTTCAATTCTTTTGTAAACTTCTCAAAGTCTCTGGCTCTAAACTTGGATTCACTAATTCATTCCTTTATCTATAAACCCACCAATGATTGAGAACTTGAAATAGAAGTGTATGTCTTTCTTTGAGCCTTCTGATTAAAGCTGTTTCTGTATAATATGTATGCAGTCATGTCAGACAAGTGGTGCGTTGGAGGATGAACTGAAGAGGGTGAGTGCAGAGAACAAGAAGTTGACAGAAATGCTCACTGAGATGTGTGAGAATTACGATGCTCTAAGAAGACACTTGGCTGAATACATGAGAAATAATCCTCAAAAGGATACCAACAGCACCTTCCCATCAAAGAAAAGGAAGCCTGATAACAGCAGCTACAACAACAACACTAATAATAATTCCATGGCGATTAATGGCACCGCGGAGAGCTGCTCAACTGATGAAGAATCATGCAAGAAACCTAAGGAAGGCACCAACAAAGCAAAAGTTTCCAAAGCTTATGTCAGGACAGAATCATCTGATACTAGCCTGGTAATTAAAACTCCCTTCTTTCATCTCATATAATTGGCGGATTGTATCAGCAGGATCTATATATATATATATATATATATATGACGACAAGTCTATTCACAATCGATTGACCTGTTTAAGGATTTTTCTTGAACTTGTCATCGCTTGATTAGGTGTAATTGTCTAACAGGAAATCTTATTCCTTTTTGTGCTGCGTTTTCAGATTGTGAAGGATGGATATCAATGGAGGAAATATGGGCAAAAAGTGACCAGAGATAACCCTTCTCCAAGAGCATACTTCAAATGCTCTTTCGCTCCAAGCTGTCCAGTCAAAAAGAAGGTAAATTAAGCTTTTCTCTAATTCCGGGGGGAAAAGTTAGTCGCTATGTCATATGTATATCAGACAAGTAGGTACCTGGATGAAAATTGAAAAAGCTAATTTTCCTGTTCCCATGTTTCAACTATTCAGGTGCAAAGAAGTGTGGAAGATCAATCTATTCTGGTTGCAACTTATCTAGGGGAGCACAATCATCCTCATCCTTCTCAAATGGAGACAACAACTGCATCAGGATCTAGTCGTTTTGTGAGCCAAGCTTCAGTACCATGTTCATCAGCATCTTTGAGCTCGTCCTCTGCGCCAACAACAATTGCCTTTGACTTGACAAAATCCAAGTCCGGCGCCAACAACATGAATGCCACTCCCGCCACTCCCGCCAAGAACCCTAAAGCGAAACTCGATTCGCCAGAAGTCCCTCAGGTTTTAGTGGAACAGATGGCCTCTTCCTTGACTAAAGATCCCAATTTCAGAGCAGCACTTGTTGCTGCTATTTCGGGGAGAATATCCCAAAAGGATTAAAGACCAGTGGAATTCCAAAGTTTCTTACTTTAACTGGATCATTCTTAAATCATGGCCGGGGATCTCTTTGTTGTAAATACAGACAAAGGAAGACTAGGACATGTTCCTCGGTTTGATCCTTAACGTTGGGAGGGGGGAGGGGAGATGATCAAGCTCACAAGGAAAGCCCAAATCAGACACTCAAAGTTCTTGCAGAAGTCTGTCAAGGTGACTGAAGAGCTCTGTTTCAAGCAGTCTCATCGTCTCTGAAAGCCACGTCTGCTTCCTTCTCATCTGCCATATTCCATGTACTCTCCTTTTAATTACATAAATGATTAAGAATAGTGATGCAAATATAGAGCTGTTTTATATGAAAGCTCAGCTTTAGATTTTTCAGAGAAAAGAACTATCAATATTTGAATATCGATATATAAAATTGAATTTATATAGGAAGCTTTATTTTCCAGAAGTCTCACCAAGGCGACTAATTAACAGTTCATGCAAAGCACTAGGCGCATAATCCAGTTATATGATATATTTGGAAGTGTTTCAGATACATGGAACAAAAATCAGACATTTTTAGCAGTTGAGAATAGAAGCTTTGGAGTTTAATATGCTTGCCATGACAACACTACATAAAGAGAATGCTGAAATGATCTGTTGTTTTAATGATGTGCTAAAGTTACTAAGAAACATAAGTATCCGAATATGTAAGTAATAATTTAATGTATCTAAACCGACCTTAGATCTACAGTTAAACTAGTAAGATGGGTTATTCGTAACCGAGCTATTATCACTAAATGTGGTGCAGCGATTACTTCGGCTACGAGCACAGCCAAGAGAGAACGACGCATTTGTGATGCTGAATAATATATCTGATAGAAATTGTTTCTGGAGTCATCTGGGTTTGATTTTCATTGCTTTAGGCTCATTCATTGAAAAAAAAAAATTCAAGTATCATACGTTTACATTTTATGAGATAAAGCTTTACCTTTATGACTAAATTTCTTCTAGAGTATCGCATCAATCACTAAGAACACAATCCAATGTAGAATCTCTAATTTCTTGAAATTAGGTGTCGGGTAAGGTAGACAGTATCAAGCACCGCAATCTACAAGCGTTCAACCAATACTGCAGACGAATCACGCAATGTTCCTCGAAGACCAATCAAAGGGTAGGTACTGCTGGACTTAGTTGACTTTAAGACATAATATACTTAACCTGAAAGGCTGAAAATACAGAGTATAGTCCCGGGAATAAAACAGGGAGAAAAGTTAATGTTTCGTATCAGGTTCTTTTGAAAAATCCCATGTTAACCTTGTCCAACTAAATACCTAGGAGTGTCCTGGTCGTCATCCTAACATATAGGAAACTGTTCATGGTCACGAGATAATGAAGAAAGAACAGAGCAGGCAATGCATAAGTGATATATAGTGATATCATTGGCTTGTTCCCATTTCAGTAATTTCTGTTAATGGGATCTTCATTTGGCACAGGTCATTTTGCTTTTCAAACACGAAATTGCCTTTCTTTTCTTTGTAGAACATAGTTTATGTGAGATGGATTCTAAGGGTTCATCAGGATCTAAGACATGCCAGGACTCAAAACTTCCTTACAAAACAATTACAATCATCTCCCCTCAGAGTTGTATCACTATGAGGTAAAGCTCAATTTATCAACAAATGGTTCTTGAGTTGGTTTTTTTTTTTTTTTCACTGGAGGTGCGGAGGCTAAACACTCATCGAATCTGATCTGAAGCTAACTGATAAGATGATCACTTGTAAGCTCAACCACTTGAATGAAAGTACGCAACTATACATGATTGACTGTTGGTTTCTGGTTTGGGAATTTTGACTGGTAGCTATTGTGGGTATTGGTAAATGCTCATTCGAGGCTTTTGGTCTACTGAGTTACAAGTAAATGTCAAGCACGATTTGAACTCTTTCATTACCTGCAATTTTTAGGCAATAACTCTGTGACTAAACACAACCCCTCGTGTAAGTCAGAAATATTCATATTACCCACCATCCTGTGAGTTGGGGTGAGGAATTGGTTTTCCCAACCAGATCTTTTGTTCTTTTTGAATTATTCACCTGTGGGTCACGGTCTCATGGAGCAGGTTTGCATAAACTTTCTTAACTTTCTCTTTGTTAGGTAGCAGAAAAGTTTGAAAAGCAAGGGTTAATAAATAATAAGAGGTTGATTCACTTCAGGAATTGCTTTCCATCCAGAAAGGTTGATTCACTTCAGGAATAGCTTTCCACCCAGAAACAATGGACAAATGAACAAAGATTGCGTTGTTGACACATAAAAGATTATACAAATGAATGAACAGAATCAGAGATCTGATTCTGTCATCATTTTAAGTCTGAAACAGGAAAATATATTTATAGAGGGGCGGCAGCCCTCTAGGAAAGGAAAAGGACAAGGAAATAAATGCATAACATGAGATCTGAATCACGGATTGATTCACACCCTCTAGGAAAGGAAAAATCTTTGAACCTAAGACCTAATTAAGGTTTAATTTTCTTTCTCGTTTTCTTCATTACTCATAGGGACAGATCAATTTTCTCTTGATTTTCCTCGGCTCTTTTTGTCTCGAGGTGTTGTCTTCAGCTCACTACTTTGACTCAATTAAGGTGTAGGTTTTGGTTTCCTCACACCAATTTATAACCTAAAAGTCTTCATCTTCACTCTACTTTTATTCCTTTTTCTCAACTTACTTAGCTGTGAATGTCTGGTTTTGGGTATTCTCATCACACTTTGTAATGAAAGTCTTGGTTTTGTTTGAGCACATTTACTTTAGGGTGGCAATTTTCTTTAAATGAACAGACTACGAGGGTTCTAAATGTCATTAAAGAATTACACCCAAAAAGAAAAAAAATCAAAGATTCTCTTATCATTAAAATTTGAATAAGAGGTATACTCCTTTTCGTCGTTTTCATAAGAGTTCTTTCATAGAATTTTTTATTCTTAACATGACGTGTTTTAAAATTGTTTGGATTATTAATATTTTTTTAACTCAAAATGCCCTTTATTTGAAATGAGAGTGAAAGTACTCCTCCGGTTCTAAATGTAAGAACTCTTTCGTAGTGTAGAACCCTTTCGTAGTGTAAATTACACTATAAAATGGGTTTTATATTTAGACTGAATAAGTACATTAATGAACTTCATTAAATAAGGATGATTTTGAAAAAAAGTTGAAATTTAAGACATTCTGAACAAAACTACTTCCTCCGTTTACAATGTCAGTCACTTCTACAAAATTCCTTAGCCCGCAATATAAATTACTTAAATATTAATGTTATAAAACGGATCCAAAATGAAATCATAAAAGTAGAATAGAGAAAGATGAAGACAAGAGAATGAGAGAACTTTTGTATTTCTTTACTTGTACTACAACACAAATGACATGTTTTATTTATAGGCATAGTCTTGTACATAGGTTACAATTGTCCTTAAATAACAAATAGTAGATAATCAATCCCATGAATGTGAATGGAGGTGAGTTACAAGAGTGAATGGATAATTGAGGAGTAATAGATAGTGGAAAAGTAATGGATGATGGAGGTAGTGGAAGTTACTTAGAGAAGATAAAGAGGAAGGGATAAATAGACATCCACATAATATTCATAACACTCCCCTTGGATGTCCGTTATACAAATATGTGCCTCATTAAAAAATTTCAACTAGGAAAAACCCTGGGGGATAAAAACCTAGAGGAAGAAAAAGAGTACATATTTATCGATATACTATCTAGTTTTGCCTCATTAAAAACCTTACTAGGAAAAACTTAGTGGGATAAAAACCATAGTCAAGGAAAAAAGAATACAGCATGTGTTAAGTTCCCCTCTTAGAAACATTAGTCGATATCTCTGAATCTATGACATCCGATACCATGAGCAAGCTTTTCAAATATCATACAAGGAAGTGATTTGGTGAACAAATCTGCCAGATTTTCACTGGAATGGATTTGCTAGATATATATTTCACCATGTTTTGAATATTATGAAATACTTCATCTGGAATTACCAACATGTGGATCAAAAAGAAATTTACAACCTTTATTTTAGTGTCTTCGTATTGGTGAAGAACTATATCTTATTAGTAAGTTAACAACAAATAATATGTCAAGTCATGAGTGACTGATAAGATATGATATGGTACTTTTAGACTTATGATTTGGTACTTCTAGGCCAAATAGCTCTTCATTACATTCTAGAAATCTAAAAGGTTCTTTATTCACCTCTACAAATCTCATAACCATCAAAGTATATAATGGATATGATTTATCCATATAAAAACACTTTAAGATCTTTCTTGTATCAATTATTTGATACACAAAAGTTTTCATTTTTCAAGCATTCAATTTGCAATCTGAGACAAAACTTTGTTCTTCCCAAATCCTTCATTTCAAATTCTTTCTTGTAAGCAATTTATAACTTCTATGAGCTATTCAGGAGTTCTAATGATATTTACAAAAATTACAACAAACTCATTCCAAAAACTTTTCATAAGAATACATGGGCAAATTGGATTATGTTTTAATATCATTCCTTCAACCGATATTTACTTAGTCGATTATACCACATACGCCCTGATTGTTTCAATTTTTATAGAAACTTACTTAAATTAATTAAGCATTATCTCAAAAACTTGAATTGTATGCTTCTGGCAAGTGAAATCTTTTCAGGAATTTCATATATTTTGATCCAGAACTATAAAATAGATGATACATGCTGAAATTATTTTAATTTTCATAATATTTCATAGATTGAAAGATTTTCTTATATATGCTCCTGGCATATTTTGGATCATTCAAGGATTATTATATAAATTTCACTATTTAATGATCATTATCCATAGGTCATGATAATATCTAACAAGCGCATTTTATAACTGGCAAACTATTCAAATATATAAAATTATATCCACCACAAAGTAATATATCTCATCATAATTATTTGTAAAAATCTTTATTTTCACATAAACGTCTATATATTCTATAGAAACTTCATATTTCATGTGTTTGGACTGCAGGTCCATTTTCACATATTGAAATAATATTTTTATCACATCTTTTCCTTTTTTACTTTTGTTCTTGGCCCAAGTCATGTCTACTTTATATGATAGATCTATGTTTAAGATCCTCTTTTTATCACGTGATATTCTTATGAAAATCATTGTTGACAACTTTGCCTTTTCGGTTCCATTTTTTTGTGTGACATAACTTGTTGAGATCTCTTTTTTTCTTTTCAGGTACCTGAACCTCTTCTAGGGTTTTACAATTAATTATGCCTTGACACTCTTTTATAGTACATGCCTCCTCAATATAACTTCTAAGTTGTATGCTCCTCTTTATTCAATATATTTATATTGGAACCGACTAATCTCTCATGCTTCAGGCATGTCTCATTTTTATTTATATTAATTGGAGCAGTTTCAGCTGGAAT